AATACCAAAGTTTTACATAAAGTGTGCCAAGATAAGGTGACCGCTCTATATTATTAGGTAGCAATGCCACCATAGTATGATATTTGCATTCTTCTTATATTCAAGGCTGCTTATTGCTTTTCTGAAAACAATTATAAACATTGTCGGCTCTTTTGTCGTTCGGATATCGCTGCAAAAGCTGGTAAGTTTATCGCAATAATTCCAAGAAACTATTGAATATTTCGAGGGTGTTACGAAAAATTTGCGATCGTTCATGTCGTGTTCTGAATGTTGTCTCTGGATTTATTCAATAAATTTTTCCTACGAACGTTCTTTAGTTTGAAGAAAGAACTCAGTTTTCACATGAATAAACATTGTCTAAAGAAATTATGGCGCTAAGAGGCATTGGATTTGGTTCCTCATAATTTTTTGCTTTCGAACGCTGACTGCTAACTAGCAGTTATAAACATAAACTAGTCGACAACTTTTACATAATAAACGGGATATGAGGCCCGATGGTGGTAGCCATTAAAGATTCGACCTTTGTTTTTCCTATTCAGAAATGTTTTTCTGAATAAGATAAACAAACATGAGGCTGGAGTGCACTTTAGTCATTACATATGTTGTATTTTGTTTGTATGTTGTTTTTGTTTTTCTTTCAATTTTTTACACTTGACATGAGATAAAACTTTATAAACAGTATTTATTTATTTATTTATTTATTTTTTATTTATTTTTTTTTTTTTGTTATATGTATGCATACATATATATATATATATATATATATATATATATTATTTTGTATTTGTTAATGACATACAACAACAAAATAAAGGTGTTAATTTCAAGTTGCGTGCACACAACCACTTAAATAATGCCAACGTTGGTGATAGACCCACTGCCAGCGTGCCAGCTGATGACAGGGATATTCGCAAACAATGCACACGACTTGTTCTCTGAATAAAGTTGAATGAAATTGAGTTGAGTTAAGTTGAGTTTATTTCAAAGTAAATTTACATTTCAACTTTGGCAAATAGTGTAATGAGTAAATATTGCAAATATCTTTGCACTAAGATCTTTTTAAAAGCCAATAGTTGTCATTAAACTCTAATGGAAATCATCGTTACATACGTACGTATATACATTTCGGAATGTTGCATGCACAATGCATGAAATGCCGTAAACGCTATGAATATTTGATTGCTTGAAAATAATTAGCATGTTAGCAGTAGCTGAGCTCAGATACATTTGAATTCAATCCTAACTGAAATCGAAATGCGATAAAGCGATTGATGGAAATCCGAGATTTATAAATTTTTGTTAAAATTAAGTCTTAATGACTTTAACATACATACAAATGCTTTTCATAATTTTTTTTAAAAAAGATTTTACGAAAATTGTTTCTGAAATTGCTTAAATAACACATGTCCGTCACACAATCATAAAACTATTATGGAAACACTTTTATCTTTTTCGAAAGGCAATCGAATCTTTTTATCGGTAAATTTTGCATTTTTTCCAAAGTTTCGCTCAAAGACAAGTTGAACAATTTCCTTCTATCGACGAAATGAGTTTCTTGTCTATCGACATATTGCAAAAATCTCTCGAATTCCTATTGGGCGATGATTTACACAATTTTACATGAGAACTAATATCAATTGTCAGTCATCATGGCAAGGAGATGTAGTTAAGGAAGACCTTTAGTTAAAATCTTTGATCAATTTTCATTGTCCTTCGATTATAGGAAACATTGATTGATATAATATGAAGAGTGCACACGCAGGTTGTTTCATGGCAGCAGTCTAAAATTCGGATAAAAATATCGTTCTATCCGAAATACACTCACCAGTTTATTGTGTCTAATCAAACTTCGTAGCACATTGTCTCGAAAAAAAAACCTTTAACGAGTATATTTGTTTATGGATAGTTTTTCACACTGTTCATTGTTGTTCTTGTTTCATTAAGTCGAGACTCTAATTCCGCCCGAAAAATACTCATATATTTCGAAACACTTAACAAAAAGAATGCAACAAGCAATAATCAATCGTATCCTCGTTTTACAACTAAGTAAGCTTCTAAATAACGGCCCGAATAAGTGGCTTGTTCGGAATATCGAATGGATGAGCCAACTACTCGCTATATAATCTCTTAAAATTTTTATAGCCATTACCGAGGAATTTGCGAATATACAACGGTAAACCACCAGCGGAGGTCCGAAGAGCTTAAATATATTTTTTCAATTCAAAATTTCAAGTCGTCCTATATTTGTCCATATGGCCTCTATTTATCTACGTTCACAAATATGAAGATGAAAATTAAAAAAATACCTTACAAGCAAGTAAAAATAGTAACTTATTATCCATAGAATGTACTGATCTGAAGCTTGGTGCATACAGTTACGAGAGACACTTTGGAAAAATGGCGCGATTCGCTTACAAGGACGCCAATCAAAGACTGTAGCTTATTAGTTCTATGAAATGTGGAACGCGAACTTGTGCAAATATTTGCTAGGGTCATCTAAAAAATGTGAGGACAGATTTTTACTTAATCAATTGCCACGCCCACAATAATAAACACGCTTAATATGCCCTATATGTTCGAGTGTGTAGATAGCATGTATCAAAGACTTCTTATTCGCCGCCTCTATTTTCTTCAACGTACGAAGTTAGCAAAGGGAGAACGATCGACACTTTCAAAGCAAAGAGATACGAAAGTGAGTTTATAGCGCAGAAAAGTCAGAATAAAAACAATTTTAGAAAATAAAAAATTATCCATTGGGTTATCTCTTCGATTCTATCAGTTAATCACAATACATATCGAATTTCTGTTAAGAGGATTTTTGAAGGGGTCCATAAGCTTATTTGCTGTTATTAATATAATGAATTCAAAGACTAAAGCCGTAAAGCATTAGCACCTAAGGCTATCCAGCTTGAGATTGACCATTGAGCTGTTAGTCAAGATCCCTGGCCACTCAGGGGGAAATATTAAAACAAGTTTTCTTATACTTATGAAATGGAGAAATGGTTTCCCAATCATTAATAGATAAACGAAGAAGACTAAATTAAAAGTTTGATTTGTAAATATTTGACATCCGCCTCTTGGTTGCTTGAAGAACTTTACTTACAGTTCATCGAGCTATGCGATTATATTAAGTCTTGTCCGCCGCTTTGCTTTTCTCTACTGGAGAACAGAAATCTAATGCATTGCCGTAAGAGAAAAACAGCAAAGTAAGCTCGTATGTTGAAATGGAAGTCCCGCGCGCGAGAAAATTCGGGTCAATATTATTTTCTTGCTTTCTTCCTTTAATCAGTTTATCTTGTAAATAGAAAAATGTGGCGAAACGATAGATCGTTTATTAATTAATTTTGAAATTTAACCGATCTACAATGAAAAGATGAAAATTACGAGGAACTTTTTTTACTATCCTTGAAACGCTTCAATTGTTACAAAGCGATTTAATGTTTGAAGACAGATAGAAAGTTTTCTTGACCTTTTGTCCGTGCCATCGAGTGAATTAATTCTATTCTTTATAGTTTAAAAGAAGCCGAACAAAAATATCTACGCAGAGATAGATTGTATATAAGTCGAGTAGTATAAGTGTTTCAGGTGATGGGCCTGCCTAGTGGTATAATGACGTATTGCGTAGAAAACTCATTAGTGCGATCGATCGTTTAGAGATCTATTTTGGAAATTGGCGTTGTCAAGTTGGCGCTTGGCAAGAAAAGAAAGTTTCCTTTGTAGTTAAGTATTTTTATTTTATTTCTCGTTCCCGCCTACGGCTAAAAATCATCTCATAAAAAGTCAATACTTGCAAGTTCTACGTGAAGCTTCGTTTTTGAAAAGAAATAAAAGCATTTCCGTAAAATCGAATTTACAAACAGAGGGAACCCGCTCTGTGACACATGTAGCATTTAATAAGGACTATGTTTTTTTTTTTTTTTTTTTTTTTTTGCTTTTTCGTGATGCATTTATTCGTTTTTGATTCGTCGATGATTTAACATGTCTTTCTGCCTAAACGTGTTACGTGATTTGCGGCAGGTTACAATGCTCTGTGCATTTTTTGAAATGAGCTCTTACATCATATTCATTAGGTCTGCCTGCATGATTTATTTAACGATCATGTTGTCATGCATTTACCTTCTGGATAAATTACGATTACTAATATAATATTGAAATTGAACTGTTTTTTGGATGTTGTTGGTGATCGTTGTTAGAGGAAAATTGCTATTCAGAGTTTTTTTTTTATTTTTTTTTTTTTTTTACCAACTATATAACACGGTTTAGTTAAAATAAAGAAGAGATTTTTACGTAAAATATTCGGTTATAAATTTTCTGAAGAAATCAGCTTAAAGCTAAGGAAGGAAGGTAAGCTGTGCTTGGAAATTCTATTCAATCCTTTTTGTACCGTTTTATATCTAATAAGACAAAGTTGACTTCATTTGTCGATAAGATTATGATAAATGCTTCTCAGAAAGCAAAATAAAGAATTTATGTAGATGTGTGTAAGTGTAAATAAATTTATGCCAATTGTAAATGAATAGTTTATAGTACATTTTGCTTAAATTTTTCGAAGGCGCTGAAAAGACTATAGTCCAGATAGGCCTCGAATTTTTCCCACTCACACTACGATCAATAAAAAAATTCAAATGCTATACTTACACCTCGAATAGAAATGCATGGATATCGTCTTATAAGATCAATCGAAACTAACTGCTTCGGTCTTAAAATGACAAAGTGAAATGACAAGTAGTAGATCGTTTGATTTGCAACAAATATATCGAAGAGAACAAGACTTAGATGCATTGCACAAAGAATGAACAAATAATAATTCAAAATATTCTACTGGCATAATATTCTAGTAAATCTCGCAATACCATACTATGTACGTATATATACATGTACAGGTATATATATATATATATATATATATAGGTATATATTATTAGATTTCGAATTTTTTGTAAAATATTTCAAAAATAAGAATTTGATAGAAGGTAAATAAAATAAAGCGTTTTACATACCATTTCGTCTAAGCTCTTTAGATCGTTTGTAACAATTTGTGGTTGTGGTCCATACATTAGCATCGGGCCATCAGTGTCGTCATCATCATTTTCCGAATCGGTATCATCGAACATATCAGTTTCGGTGGCTACACTCTCCGTGCCGACGCCTTTATCGGTTTGTGTAGCATCGTTTTCAGTTTGGGTGGCACAGCCGATACCGTTCGCTTTATTGTCTGCGGCTATTTCACGATCAATTTGTCGTTCCATTTGTACTAGCATGGGAGCCAGCATACCTATATACGAAAACGGAGAGATTAATTTGAGAAAAATGCCTTTTGGATTTGTTGGAAAAGGCAAATTCACTTATTGAATGGCCTATTAGGGCTAAATTAACGCAACAGGCACAAAAGTCAATCGTAATAATCAAAGTAACATTTCGCAAACAATCTATTATTGAAATGCAGGCTATTTAAGTTTTGGTTAAGTGATCTTGTTAAAAAAATCCGTTTGATAATTAGGTTTCAGTTCTAATTAACGGATTAGAAAAGCTCATTAACATTAGAACTACCACCGACGTTTTTTGCATATACCTATGGATTATTTTGACATCGCTGCACACACACAACGCTGAGGGTATTGAGCTGAGATTTTACATATAAAGCTGGGATCTGCGCGCATACATATCCACACAATTAAGTAGAAACTAAGACAACTCCAAACAAATGATCCCGCAAAGATATTTCGGGACTGGGAAAATTTTCTTTAAGATCGCCTACATGCAAAAGGCAGTCTCGATTTATTTCTAGTTCGATATGAAGGAGTTTAGAATTAAATCGTACGCTAGTACGATTATCCTGACTATTTTTGCACTCCACATGAAGGTGATTGTAACGAACGTCGGGATCACAGGCTTTCGCATCCATTTGAACGTGATCGAAGGCTAAGGATTGAAAATATGCAAGAAATTGGAAAACTAAAACAGATAGAGAAAAATTGATGATGGATCGTTTCAACGTCCTTTCCGATAACTATGTAAAAGTCATTGAAAACGTATTGAAAACTTTCATTCTTTATAACTATATTTTGCCCCTTTCACACCCATAAGAATTCGAGAAGCTATTACTGAATTGGGGGGTAGCTCTAACGTTAGCAGGCAGTGCTTTTAATACTAAAGCGGACGAAGTATTCTTTGTGTCTTCACCTTTCAAGGAAATTTATTTTATCAAATAGATACGAACACAGATGTAACGGGACTCGGGTGCTTAAATAGATATTAATGATTTACTTACCAAATTTTGCTCCACGTCTGGCCACTTCTAATAGGCATAAAATTACATGTTTTTCGTTTTTTCTCATAATGAGGTCGTCAGTTTCGAATAATAGGCACTCGATGATTTTAAGGCTTTTTCTGCAAATCAAAAGAAGGCAAAAACTTATTTATTTATTTATTTTTTATTTATTTTTTTTTTTGCAAATTCCATAAATCAATTAAATCAATTACTTATCTAAAAGTTGAAAAGGAAAAAGGAGTTTAAGGAAAAAGAAAAAAAAAAGAAAAAAAAACAAAAAAAAAAAAAGAAACAAGAAAAGCCATGTGGAGAGAAAACTAATTGTGGTTAAATTTGTTTACATTTCGTTTATTAATCTCGCTCTTAGCTTCATTTTACGCAAAATATTTAATCATCCTATGCATTCGCATAGAACGAACATACACACACTTGTTATATGCTTGTAACTTGGCGTTCAGTTCATATATGTATTGCATTTTACTTATTCGGCGAGTTAGTCAGTTAGTCAATCAGTTTATATGTGTAGTTGTTTAGAGTTGTTGTTTTTGTTGTTATTGTTGTATTTAAGCATTCATTGCCTCATTATGGCCACATCAAAGTGCGTTTCGTTTATTTTACATTAATTTGCTGTGAATGAATTTTACGGATACGCTTTAATTTAGTTGATCTAAATTTAATTGAAATTTTTATTTTCACGCAATTCATTCTCGTTTCTTGTTTTTATTAGTGCCGCCGCGCTAGCTACTGTTGTTCTTGTAGCTTTCATTTTCATTTTATGTTCAGTTAAGAATTTCAGAGATTCTGGTTGAAAGTGCAATGATCGGCAAGAATTCTGTTTGTGTGCATCTTTCACTTTCACTTTCACTTTCATTTTCATTTTTTTTTTATTTTTTTTTTTTGCTTTTCTTCTTTTTCGGATTTAATTTTACTAAAAATTAATTTATTAAAAAAAGGGGCAGAGAAAGTTGTAAATAGCGCTTCAGCGAAATCTAATTAAATGAAAAATTTGTGAAAATTTAAATATACCCAGAGAATTCTTCTCTGAATGGGAAATCAAATGCGGATTACAATAGGGTCCCATCTAGTCTTAACTATTAATTTCGAATGAAATAAAAGGAAAGCATCGACCAAGAATCGCTATTTAATCAAATATCTTGGAAAGTTGAATACCTCAAATATGTTATCTATATATAGTTTTATTTTATATAAGAGATTTATGTGAATGTTGTTTGAAAAAAATGTACTTACTTTAGTGGATGAAATTATTCAGCAATTTTTTGAAATTAATCCGCAGAAGGATTTGTACGAAGTCAAAGTCTTTGATTTCGAAAGTAACTTTTTATGAAATTTTGTTCAAATAAAAATACCTTATCCGCCTAGATAGTCGAGTAGGCTAACGACTTACTCGGCTAATAAATCAATGGTCATGGGTTCAAATCCCAAGCGCGGTAAAGCTTTCAATAAGGTCGACGGCTTCAAATAATTGGATTAATTATAATAATAATGATAATAATAAAAATGCCTTAAATAAATGGTTTGCATGCATGCATGGCTTACATTTCCTAGCAGACAGCAACAATAAGAAATATAAAAAGAAAAGAAGAAGAAGGAATATTTTATTATAAGAAGGAATTTATTATTTAGGTTATAGCAAAAAGCCCTAGTAAGAGGACCGGGCAATTTTCTACTAAGACCTTCTAAATAATAACATTTTTTTAATTGATCTTTACATTTGAATAAATATCACTGATCGGTTTGAGAAATATTTTCTATCTTTTTGTTTCGCTCAATATTTCTTGACAGTCATTTATTAGCTTAATGAGCAGAACAAATCGTTAGGAATTTGTAAGTGTATGCCATGAACGTCACAGCGGTGTTGACTTTCAAAAAACCTACAGAGATACTACTATTCACTTGCTCCCCTTTCTGCATATATAAGCCTTCCTAACTAGCGCCCATATAGACGCCCTGGTTGAAATTAAAATAAAAACAATTCACTGAATTCACTTTGCGTTCGAAAACTATTACAAAAATCGAAATTATCTAAATTCGTAGATATCAATGCATATCGAAACCTAGACATACGTCATTGTTTAGCCTTTTTTCAATTTAATTGATCTTTTTAACGGCTGTCTGCTCTTCAGTCTCAAATCGATGCAATCACTCCATCAAATTGAGTTTATTGGGAAAGCTTGAAATTATTCAATGTCTGAGCTGCTAGACCCTTTGCAAGATTCGATAGGCCTCAACGAGTTTTCAACGAGTTTTTTTGATAATATGCGCGTTCGAAGAAACAAATCTTGAAAGTTTCAGTTTTTTCCCTGAGATGATAGCTTGTCAGCTGTTGACATATTTTCAAAGTTAAAATTTTCGTAGGCCGCTACTCGCTGCATGCAAAGCATACGTAACTTACGCTACGTAACAATAGTTGTTTGGATGTCTCAATATTCTTAATCAATCCGATATCACATCCATTTACTCATTCTTTTTTTTTAATTATAATCGGTCGTGACCGAATCTCTTACACCGATCATCGAACGATCTTAAAAAAAAAAGAAAATAACTACATTTTCATACTCGATAATATTGGATGATTTCTATATTCAGAACAAAAGTGAAAATTTAAATGATGCATATGTTGTACTTTATGAGTAACAAGCAAACAACACGCAAAGCAAAAGTGTTCACAATTTTTGTTATAACGGCTGTGAACGTGTTTTAGGCGTGCGCGAGTTTTTAGCCGATATCTTTATGTTTGCGAACGGTAGGTTATTTACTATAGATATTACACTTTTTTTTTTAAAAACCAGAGAGAAGTCTCCTCGCATTACGTAGTACTGTAGGCGTGTCCTTCGACCAAGAAATTCTAATCTTTGCGCTAAATTTGAAGGCGATAGCTTTATTTTTTGGCGCCCGAGAGCAGGTTTACAACAGACAATGCACAGACAGACCGACGGCTGGACGAACGGACTGACATGCATTTTTATACTGTCCAAACATATATATGTTTGCTTTGTGAGGCCACTAAACTTTCCTTCTGCGCATTGCAATATGAATACACTCTCAACCCTTGGGTTAGTCGTAGTCGAGATATTACAAACAAGGTTAACCCTTCTAATTTCCGCAATATATAATCGAGCATGGTTATGCTGAAAGTTCCCTTCGTTTGTATAATGCAATCGTTTCTCCTTCAATATTCAGCTTAATTGCGCTACTGATAATGTGCCTCAGTCCTAGCTTTTTGAGAGGAATACATTACGCTCTTCATAACTTTCGAAACACAGACCATGAATTTTCATTTATGGAGATTATTGGAATTTAATCTCGTCATTTTTTGAGACAGTTTAACATTGCATCGCACACACAACATATGATATACCAGATGTAGAAATAAGTCCGAAAACGTATCTATTACAAGAGCATTGTAAGAAAAGATTGTATTCAAGGCCTTGTTTACCAAGGGTAGCAGCAACATGTGTTCCCTATCTTTTTGATAATTTGTTAATCTTTTTTCCTGAAGAGTAGTTCATCTTTTAAGCAAACAGTTCTTTAAGCCATTTGGCGACTTCTTTATAACTTTGTTGAAGTTTAGCTTGGAAACTCCGCACGACATAGTTGAAATCTCATCGATTCTTGATAGTTTGAATTTTCAAAATGAAATCAGTTTTCTTCATCTTTGAAGATAGAATGCAAAAATGGTTTTCGTGCATATTTTTAAAGCTTTACTTTATTTACTCAAAACATTTCGTCAGTTGTCCTCAACTGCTATTTAGCTCATGTGGTACGCATTTTCCAGTCTTTTGGATCCTTTCTATTTGAGATATTATTCGATTACGTTTCGTCGTTGTGCCATCATTCGTTGAGTTGAAGTAACGTCTCCACTCACGATCCGAATTTCATCGGTGTACCTGAATGGGCTGGGTCCGGATCACCGACAACGGGGCTTACATATCTTCCTGTTTGCAGCCTAATCGCTTTTAATTTCGAAGAGATAAGTTTGAACTGCTCTTCTCTGTTTTTTTTCTCTTTTTTTTTTTTTTAGATTTAATAATTGCAGCGATGCATGTTGCAAACGCTTCTTGTTAGATATGAAGACGTTAACCTTTTGCGTGTGATTTTGAAGCTTGATAGTAGAGCAAGCGACTACTGCAAATATGTAAATAGTAGACACGTAAGTGTAATCGGGTAACGTTACCTTTTACAGTAACTGATAATGACTTGTTTTCCTCACCTTCAAGTTGAACTTGCACCAATGCTAATGGCCTTCCCTTTCACCCCCCCCCGATCTAAAGTCCCTCTGATTTGTCGCCTTACCAATATGTATAGTGGTCATACCCTAAGTGGCTGCTAAAATTTAAAAGAAATTTTTGCGCTTGGTATTCAAAGCCACCCCCCCAAAAAAAAATAAAAAAATTAATAAAAATAGCAATTTTATATATTAGACGATATTACATGCGCTTTTGCCAAGCTTTCAAAAGTAGAACTTTGACACAAATCCATCATACAGCATTATTCAGTACGATATAGTGTTAGAGTCGGAAAGATTGTATTCAAATTAGCCCACATTCGCCAATGAAAAATAAAAGCAAAATACAGCCAAAATTCTATAAAGTCCGTACTTGATGTAAGTAAAATTTCGAAAACGATGCGGTTATCTCGCACAGTCGTAAAAGGTGCGATCACTTGCGATAAAGTCACACAAGTCGTATACTAAACATAATATATATAGTATGTCTCTTTTGCTTACATTTTTGTTTTAAATTAAGAATTTTTCTAACCCTTTTTTAAACTTTCTTAATACAAGTATATATATGCATATATATATGTATATATGTGCATATGTTGCAGTAATAAAACTTATTGCTTAAATTGAACTCATTATGCTTATAGTGGAAGCAAAGTCTTACCTGCACCATGTAATAAAATTTGATACATTATCCCGGGCAAAGAAGGTACCGCTCTTTGCCGCTGGCAAGTAGTGTACATTGCCCATAGCTAAAATTGGACCAGCCGAGCCGGAAGTTATCGAACGTGTCATTGATTTGTTGCGTGCCTGACGACGGGCCAAATAATCTTCGGCTGCTTGACGTACATTGTTAGCGTGCTGCAAGAGAAAAACGAAAAAATGGCAAAAAAAATAAAAAAAATCGAATGAGAGAGAAAGTTAAAGAAAATGATTAATTAAAATATATACGTATAACGGCGGCGACACACAACAACAACTCTATAGCGTTAAATCAAATTTAAGCGACACAAAAATGTAAAGAATCCGAAGCACAGCTATTTTTAGATCGGCGATAAGAGATATTCAAAAATAAATGCAAAAAACTAAATTCTGTACATTTTCTTTCGCTTTTTTATTTTTGTTTTTATTTTAGTTGTTTTTTTTTTTTCTTTCTTCCTTTTTTTTTTTTTTTTTTTTTTTGCTTTGGCATTCGTTGACAGCGTATTCGAGAGAACTCATATCAAATAAATTTAAATGCGAATGCAATGCAGCAAATGCTTATAATAAAAATTTTAATAATTTAATTTAATTTATTAAATAATTAT